GGATCAGACATGCACTGTATTGCCCGGCGTCCAGAACTTCTGGGACCTTGTGTCCTTCAGCACGGGACCTCATTCTGCCTCCTCACCTGATCGCCTGCCTCCCCCAGCCCAGCCTCCACGATATCCAGGACGCTCCCCCGCACTGAGAAGAAAAATGCTATTTAATTGGGGTGGGGGGAGCCAACGACCTGGAATCCTTTCTGCTACTGGGAACGGTGCTAAAGTTCTCCGCGGACAGGGGGTGTTGGGTTGCCCTGGGTCACCCCTCCAGCTCTGAACGCGGCCAGATCTGGTGTGAGCAAAGGGGAAAGTCAGCGCTTGGCGGCGCCCTGTCGTTTAGTCAATCAACAAACACGCAGGGCCCGCCTGCCGTGTGGCAGCGCTGAGCTGCTGGGCCGGGGCCGGTCAGTGGAGAAAGGTGAGCAAGGTGGGCCTGTCTGAGCCCTGCGGGGGCCCGCAGTCCGGGGCGGGAGGGCCGGAGCGTCCACTCACCCACGGCCGCGCGCCCCGCTCCGCGCGAGGGCCGGGCGTCATGTGCGGTCCCGGCCGCGCGGTGGCGACAGAGGACGCGCGGCTGTGCTCTCGCCGGCTCGTGGGCGGGGCCTGCCGGGGCAGGTGCAGGGGCCCGGGGCGAGCGCGCTGGGGGCTTCGGCTTCGCGCCCGCCCGCTGCTGGTTAAGGCGAGAAACGGGCCTCGGCGCGTATCCGGGAAGCGCGGCTCTGGTTCTGAGCCAAGCTCCGCGGCCCGCGGCCCGGCGGCCTCGCCTCACCGGGCGGAGCCCCCGAGGCACCGGCGGGCGCTCTGCGGCGCGGGGCGTCCCTGCGAGTCCGGGATCCGGCCCCCCGGCCGCCGCGCTCCGCGCCGAGTTCAGCAAACAAACGTTCGTCCGGCTCGATCTGATTCCAGCCCAGGACCAGCCGTCGCGACAGCCGCCACCCGGGCCCGCGGGAAGCGTGTCCCGCGGAGGTCCGGCGGCGCGTCCGACCGCGCCGTGCGCCCGAGGCCCGCGCTCGCCGGGGCCCTGCGCCTTCGGGGGGACTTGCTGCAGCCGCGGCCCCTGAGCGCCCCTTCCCTTCCGAGCTGCTCCCGTGCCCCTGGGGCGCCCCTAGCGTCGGGGCTTCCGGAGGTCCCCAGGGGTGCTGGCGCCTTTTGTACTTTCCCTGCGCAGGCCCCGGGCTCAGCCGGGTCCGGAGTGCTTCGCGGTGACTCTGCCCCGGCTGTGCGAGGCTCCTGGGACCACCTCCCGACTCTCGGCAAACTCGGCTCACACCAACCCTCAGGCAGTTCGGGGCTCGAAGTCCCAAAACCCCCCGGCGCGGGCAGGGCTGGTCCCCGGCGCCCCGAGGAGACCCGGCTCCTGACTCTTCCTGGTCCGCAGCCCCGCTCCGTCCGGGTCTGCCGGTCTCCGGGACCCCCGCCCTCTGCCGCCCTCTCGTGAGGACTGGTGAGGACGCCGGCCCCGGGAACGCAGGGTCACCCCACCACTGTGGCCTTGGTTGTTTTAGAGACACTCTGATCAGGACCTCTGCCATGGGGGCAGGCACGTCAGCTTCCAGGCCTTCTGGCCTTCCTGCTTCCCCGGATTAAAAGTATTTCAAAATCTGCAGAGCAAAGTACTTTCCCCAGATGTTTTCCCTGTTTTTTCTGTGGCTATTTAAATTGAATTAAAGCAAAAGCAAAGGTTTGTTTTCTGAATTGCACGGGTCACATTTCTGATGTTCAGTCACTCGGTGCGGCGGGCGGCTCTTGTGAGGGAGAGCGCAGATCTAGAACATTCCCATCGTGGTCCCATCACTAGATGATGCTGGACTGGAACATTCTAGAGTGGCGCTGCCTGGTGTGCGAGCCATCAGCCGCATGCAGCCGTTCACACTCACATTCTGGTGGCCGCTGACATCCAGCGTGGGCTGGCCTGGCGTTCTCCTTGAAATGGAGAGGCTCCAGGGCTGAGGTAGGCTGCGGCAAAAGTGGGGGCCGCCCGGGAAGGCCTGACTGGGGTGGATGAGGTGGAAGGAGCCCCAAGGCCATGTTCCAGTTAAACATTTCAACCTTCTCTCCCATTAGCTGAACCTGCCCCTCGGACGACTCTTTGTTCCCTGAAGGTGACCAGCGATCCCACACCACTTCCAAGCCTTTGCTGCACGTCTCCCCCCGACCAGCAAACCGCTCTATCTAGCCTCCCCTGGACTCCCAAGCAGTACTCGTCTCTCCTCCTCGGAAGTGCCGACTTATCCACACATCAAACATCCAATCCACCCACCATCCATCCTTTCGTGTGTCTGTCTGTCCGTCCGTCTGTCCACCATCCATCCGTCCCTCCCTCCACTCACCCACCATCCATCTACTCATCCAACCGCCCAGCGAGTATGGAGCGCCTCCCAGTTTCAGGCACTGCCTGCTCTTCTCCTGTTCCATTTGTGCAGCGGCTCCTGGCCTCGGAGGGTTATGTCTGAACTGATCCCTCCACGATGTGTTCATATGAGGGCAGAGATGGCAGCTGGGGACTGCCGCAGGCCCACATTTAACGTCGCCAGGCTCTGTACTCAGCCGCAGGGGATTAAGCCCCCATTTTACAGATCAGAAAACCGAGGTCAGGGAGATAATGTGCCCAGGGGCAGGAAGCAGGACAGTGGTAGGCCAGGATGGAACTCGGATGTCTGTCTCTAGAGCTTCTGTTTTTCCCTACACGTGGTGGGCATGGGATGACATGATTCCTGTCCCAGGGACATGCCAGGGACACACATGGTTATGCAGGTGACATATCATTCCCACACTGACCCCACTTTGTAGGTGGGTCAGTCTCACAGATGGGGAAACCCACAGGCTTATCCTTCATTGTCTCCCTGAAATCTGGTAAGACCCAGAAGAGAGGCCTTCTCAGAAGACACTGGACAAGGGTCACCTCGATGTGCTGAGCCCTTGAACCAAGAGAGATGACAAGGGCAATGGAAGCTTGACTCACACTTTGGCTTCCCTGAGTGTGTCTGTTGGTGCAGAAGCTGAATGCATAGTGTGTTTGCTTTGCTTTGGCCGAGTACCCCTCACCCCGGGAAATGCTCCCCAGCTTTCCAGGCAGGAATATGGCCCCTGTAGGTGGTTTTGAGTTTGAGTTACTCCAGCTTACAGTGGCTTAAGCAAAGCAGGAGACTTTACTGGCACTCATAACTGAGAGGTCAGGATGTGCTGCCTTCAGGCACAGCTAGATCCAGGGCATCAAACAGCGAGCTCGAGCATCCCCCTCTGGCCATCTCTCAGCTTTCCCCAAGGGCCGCAGTGACTCTGGCCTCCCGGTGATGAGCTTCACAACCCCTCAGCAGGGAGCGAGCACAGCCCTCAGACATCTCTGGACAGTTCTAGGACAGAATGTCCTCAGATCAGGCCCTCCCCATTGCATCTTTCAAAAACCCCTTGTTTGGGCTCCAGACCCCACCTCCTTTCCAAGGACTGACTCTCAACCCCCCTGATGTCCTGTCTTTCCCTCCACCCCTCAGCCCTTCGAGGGGCTGCTTGCTTTCTCTTTGCGTCCAAAACGTCAGGGGGAGTGGTCTCCTCACTCTTGCCTCCCTCGGCCTCCATAGCTTCCTGCAGGACGGTGGCTGTGGTCTAACTTCACCCTGGCCCACCAGGTGCCACACCAGCCGTGTCCAACCACCCCGCTGAAGTGTGGGCCAGACCCCAGGCTCTGTGTTCTGGTCCCCGTGGCTGCTGTAACGCATTGCTGTGAAGTTGGCGGCTTCCTACAATAGGCATCTGTTCCCTCACTGTTGGCTTCCTCTGGAGGCTCTGGGAGAAGGTCCTCCCTGTCTCTTCCAGCTTCTGGGGGCTCCAGGCGCCCCTGGGCTCGCCTCCGTCTTCGCACGGCTTCTTTCTGTGTCTGAGCCTTGACTCCCCCTCTGTATGTCCTTTCTAAGGACACTCGTCATTAGACTTCGGGCCAGCCCTCATTTGGGGAAGCTCACCTCAAGGTCCTTCATTCTATCTGCAAAGACCCTTTTTGTGAATAAGGTCCGTTCACGGGTTCCGGGCCCACGGTTCAACCGCCTCACCCACAGTCCCCACCAGTGCTGGAGCGTGGAGCTCCCCCGCTTCACAGATGGGGACACTCCAGTCAGAGTGGGTTGGAACCCCCGGGTGTGCGTGGCTCTTCAAGACTGACCCCAGGTCCTGCAGCCTCCAGGGGCTGACCCTCAGCTGGAGGGGCTGCTGTGGCCCCCATTCACTGGAGACGAGGCCCGTGGGGCGCCCCTCCTGTTGCCCCACCTGACCTGTCTTCCTGAGCCCCTCGCCTCCTCTTAGAGGCCCTCCAGGTTGCGCCGCCATGCCTTCCCAGCTTCCCCAGCAGGCTGTTCTGCACACCCCTCCTCCGTGCCCACTCAAGCCAGCAGCCCCCAGGCCCCCAGGTTGTCCCTGGAGCAGTTCTGTGCCTCAGAGCCACCCTCCGCTCACTCTGGTGGCACCCACCGGCTGCAGTGGTTCAACCCACAATCCCATAGCCCTGAGTCTGGAGTCAGCCCCACCCCGAATTGTCCAGTGGCCCCATGGGCATGGTCCTCTGCTCCCAACTAGACCCAGTGAGCGAGGGATGGCACGTGTGGCCATCACTCAGATGTCCTTTGGGGACCGGGAGGTGTTAGAACTCATTCTGGGAGTGGGATTTCCAGATCCGTTTCCCATTCTGCACAACAGGACTGGGAGTTGCCGCCCCCCCACCCACACATCACAGAGCCCGGCACCCCATCTCTCCACAGCGGCCACTACCGGCACCATGGCTGGCTCTCAGGAAAAGAGCGGCCAGGCTGCACCGCCTTCCCCTCCAGGCCCAGTGCCCTCATCTGGAACCAGGCACAGTGCTGGGCTTTCAGAAGAGCCTGGGTTTGGACATGGGGTATATCCTGAGTCCAAATTCCTTTATCTGCGAGACTAGGGGACGAGGGGGCTGGCTCTGAGCACCCCGGATCCTCCCTTTCCCGAGCCCACCCACCCCACACCATGCCAAGGGCTCACATGTAGTAAAAAGACTTTATTAAGAAGGCTTTGAAGTCAAAAAATAAAACTCTTGATACAATTTTCTGAACCCTTAAGTCAGCTCAGCAAATATATAATCAGTAATTTAGCTGTGTAAGATTAAAGGTCCGTTACTTTATTTAAAATAAAATATATTTTTAGTTCTTAAAATTTATTCCATAAAGTACATATTTCCCTATAAATTCCCTACATATACACAGAGGTAAAAAGTAAAAGCTTAAAAAAAAACCACAATTTAAAAAAATTTAAAAACTGACAACAGAAACCACAGAAGGAGATTAATAATTAAAAACACAAAGTTAGAAATTTCTGGTCGGCCCCCCGCCCCCCACCCCGCCCCCTCCAGCCTGTCCCCTGCCGACACTTGGAAGGGCAGCCGGTCAGCCCGCAGAGGGAGTAAAAACGTGGCCCTTCTCCTTGAGGGGATTCACAGAGGCTGCGGCGGCCTCCGATGCCAGCGCCATCGAGTCAGAAACCCAGGTCCCAAAGACGGACAACCGAGAGTTGTAAAAATCATATCTATATATATATATTTTTTACCCCTTAAAAAGATCACCCTGGCGGGCGGGGAGTCTTAAATAAAAAGTGCAAACAGACCTTTTCTCTCTGTTTTATTTTAACCTGTCGATTCAATACTGTTTATTTGTTAGGGACTGAGTGCCGCCGGGCAGCCGTCTCCACGCCTGGGACCGAGTTAAAGCTGGTCTGTGAAGGATGGCCCCGCCGCGCCCAACGCACCGCCCCCGCCGCCCCCTCCGCGCCGCCCCCCGAGCCTGCGGCGGCCAACCGCACCGCTACGAAAAGATATGAATGGCCTGGGTGGCAGGCGTGCGGCAGGCCGGGCACTCGGGCTCGCTCTTGCCGCAGATGCGGACGGCGCAGTCCATGCAGAAGAGGTTGTGGCCGCAGGGGACCAGCGCGGCCATCACCTCGCCCTCGGCGCACACCACGCACTCCCGCGCTGAGGCCGGAGCGGGCGCGGCCGGGGTCGGGGTCGGGGCGGCCGACGGTGCGGCCGCGGGGGGCTTGCGGCCGCCTTCGGGGGCGCCGGAGTCCAGGGCGGGGCACGCGGAGGCCGAGGAGCCGCTGGGCAGCGAAGTGGCCGCGGGGAAGCCGGCGCCACCGCCGGAGAAGGACGACAGTGCGCCCTGCGCCGGCCGCCAGGCCAGGGCGCCCACCGGGTCGGGCGCGCCGCGGCGGGCCAGCGGGAGCTCCAGGGCCAGGCCCCCGGGCTCGGGCAGCGTGGGCGAGTGGCGCGGCGTGCCGGCCCCGCTGCTGCGCCGGGCGCCGGGGGCGGGGGGCGCGGGGGCCCCGTTGACGGCCGAGCAGCTGCTGAAGGCGGGCAGCGGCGCAGCTCGCTCGAAGGGCGCCCAGATTGTGGCGGCGGCCGGCACGGTCAGGTCCAGCGCCAGGAAGTCGAAGCCAAAGTCACAGTCCTCGGGGGCGGGCGGCCCCGAAGGGGCCCCCGGGCCGTCCCCACCAAAGGTGAAGCCCCCATTGCCCGAGCCTCCATAGGGGCTGGCGGGGCCCGCATCGGGCACCGGCGGCCCCCCACGGCCCCCCGCGTAGAAGGCCTCGGGGCCCCCGGAGGCGCCCAGGGCCCCGTCCCCGCGGAGGCCGGCTGCAGGCGCGGGGGGCCGCCGGCCGGGGTTGGGGGCCTTGGCCCAGAGGCCGGCGGCCGTTCCGAGCAGGTCCAGACAGACGTCGGTGCCGTTGGCATGGAAGTCACTGTCGGGGCCCGCGTCGGTGAAGGCGCCGGTGCGCAGCGTGATGTGCGCCTCGATCTCCTCGCGCGCGCGGTCCACGTTCTCGGGCATGCCGGTGACGGCGAACACCGGCTCCTTGTCGCGCCCGGGCGTCACGATGTACGTGTGGGTCCGCTGCTGGATGCGCTTGATCGTGGCGCCCTTGGGCCCCACCACCAGCCCCACCACGCGGTAGGGCACGCGCACCTGGATGGTGGTCTGTCCCGGCAGGTTGGGCGGCCCCTGTGCGGTGCCCGGCAGCCCGCCGGCCTTGCTGCGCGTGGCGCGGATCACGGAGAAGTGCTCGGCGGCGGACAGGATCTCCCGCTTGGCCATCTCCACGTCCTCCTTGCGGCCGGTCACGATAAACACCGGCTCCTCCCCGCGCACCGGCGTCTTGATGTACGTGTTTGTCTTCGCACGCAGAGCCTTGATCTTGCACCCTGGGGCGGTGGGTGGGTGGGGGGAGACAGTGAGGATGCGAGGCCCCTCCCCAGGGTCCTCCCCACCCTGTCTCCTCACACACACAGCTTTCCGTTTCCCTTCGGGTCCCAGACCTGAAGGTGGTGGTGGGTTTGGCAAAAAGGCAAGAGACAATGAGGACCCCACTGCGGACTGAAAAGTGTCTCCCCCGAGTTCATGGCCCCCTGGTACTTGTGGACAGGACCTCACTTGGCAATGTCTTGCAGGTGTAATAGGTTAATGCGAGGTTGTACTGGAATAGGGTCACCCTGAACCCAGCGACAGGTGTCCTTATGGGGGAGACACAAAGAGAAGATGGGGAATGCTGGGAGGACGGGGACAGAGATCAGCACAAGGCAGCCACAAGCCTAGGGACACCAGATCTGCCAGCTGCCCCCAGAAGCTGGGAGAGCAAGACGGCCCAGGTGGTGTCGGAGCCGCTGGAGGGAGCGTGGCCTGCCGACAGCCGGATTTTGTACAGCTGCCCCCAGAACGCTCTGGACACTCATTCCTGTCATTCGCAGCCGTCTGCTGTGGCCGCTCAGTCCGAGGACACAAACGCACGCCCCAGACACTAGCTCCCCGGCTGACGGGCGGGACGGCCCAGGGTCAGGCTGTGGAAACCACCCAGGATTTTCTCTGACCAACAGACCCAGCTTCTGAGGGGACACTCACGGACACAGCACTGCGCTTTGTCACCGCTCGGACTGGGGGTCTGACCCCTGGAGGGGTGCAGGGGGGTCTGCTTGCAGGCTGGGGCATCTGATACTCCCACCCCCGGGGCCTTTTGAGACATCTTAAGTCCCGGCCCAGGAGTCTGGAGGAGCCCCCTCTGGGCTCTGGGGCGGCTGGAGGGACACAGGGACATTGTTTCAATACGAGGCCGCACAGAGAGAACCATGTTGCTAACTTTTCCTGGAGCAGAAGATACAAAGTTAGTGGGCCCAGCTCAGCCACTGGGCCTCAGGGAGCACTGGGAGATGAGAGCGGGCGTCTGGGGGGTGGGGGGTGGCCTCACCCCGTGCCCGGAGACAGCAGCCCCATCCAGGGCTTTGAGCCAAAGCAGACCCAAGTGAGTGGGTGAGAAATCTCCCAGGGAGGGTGGGCCGTGGGCACGCTGGCTTCCATCCCATCTCCCGGGTCCTGAGCCACTGCCCGCCCCCGCCGCCCGGGGTCCTCTCTCTCGCCAGCAACCCCCAAACGCACCCTGACCCGGAGCTGCCTCCACTTTGTGTCCCGGTGGTTCCCTCCCCACTTGGTAGCTGTTTGGGGGGACGGGGGAAGCTTTCAAACCCCATGCCTCAGTCCTTCCCTCTCCTGCTGCTCCCCAGCCCTGGGTGCCCCCCACGACCTTTCCCACCTGCAACAGTGCCTGCACCCCCTTCTCTGCATCAAGTCACAGCCCAGCGCCCCTTCCTTCAAGAAGCCACGGGGACCACATGGGGCCCCGCACACACTTCTCGGATCCTCCTGTGTGGCTTCTGAACTCCCCCAGGCCAGAGGGCCATAAGGAAGGGCCTCGGCACTGGGATGACACCGGCCCCTCAAAGGGCTGTCCTGCACCTCCATTTCCTCCCCAGGAAGAGAAGGGCCCAGACCCAGCACCCCAAGCAGATACCCGGCCTTCATGAGCCTTAAAGGTGGCTGGCGGGGGGGCCCTAGCCTCAGCCCAAGCGTCCATTCCCCGCAGGCCCATGTGGGCGACAGGGAGGCAAGGCCTGGAGAGAGGGCGGGGGATGAAGCCAGGTGTGTGTGTGGGACCGCCTCTGTGCAAAGAAGCAGCCTTTGTCCCCAGGCACACGAACTGGCCCCGTCCTGCCCCTCCCAGAGGGTAGCCCCGACTGGAGCCTTCGGGGGCCCAGAGAATGCCAATTCACCGGCTGCATTTTGGCTGTGACGCACATCGACCCAAGCCCCGGACACGCCATGACCCTAAGAAGTGGCAGAGTATGGGGGGTGGGGGGACTGCCAGGTCCGAGAAACTGGGGCAGTGAGAGCAGACCAGACCCACATCTGCCCTGGCAGGGACGAGCCGGATGGGCGACAGCGGGCGAGCTCAGCGGCCAAGCCCCACAGGGACCGTGCAGCTACCACGGATCGCTGCGACAGGCTGAAAGGCAGACCCCTGGGCCTGGCCACCAACACAAGCAAGTATGCCTGGGAATGGGGATGAATGCCCCCAATTCGGTCAACTCCCTCCTCACTGCAGCAGGGCCCTGCCTTCAAACAGGGCGCCTTGGGTCCCCACGTGGAGCCTGGTCCCATCACTCATGTGACCTCATTCTGGGGTCCTGACCCCCCTGCATGCTGGGTGTTGAGGAACTCGGGCGCTCCAGGCACTGCCTGGGGGACCCCACACGGGAACCACAGGCTACACTTATCAATGAAACCTCAAGGCCGTGAGGGGGAGCAGAAGAGCTCCCCCCGGAAGGATGCGTGCCAGGGGAGGGCTCCCGGCCAAGGCAGAGATCTGGAAGGATGGGGTGGAGACAAACCCTCACAATGACCGGCGCCCCAAACCCAGTGGGCCGCTGGCCCCAATCACAGCAGGGTGGGTCCGTGGGAGGAGCTGGAGCCCAGGGGCCGCCAGACACAAGGAAGGTCTATGCTTGCCAACACAAGGGGCCCCCAAGCCAGACGCACGGTGGCCTGCTGACACCCCTGTGCCATCCCCAGCCTCCAGAAAGAGCACCCCAGACCCGCGGGAGGGGGGCCAGGCATGGGGTCAGCAAGGGAAAGCCCTGAGTGCCGCCAGCTTTCTCCAGCGGAGTGGGGCCAGTCCAAGCGCACCGGCCCCCACAGGGCACACCGAGCTGGAGCAACTGAGGCTCAAATCCCAGCCCGGCGGGGCCGGCTCGGCCCACATCATTGCCTCCTGCGACCTCGAGCTACAGAGGCTCTTCTCCAGGGGGTCTGAGGCTCCGTGAGGAGGGGCAGGTTGAGGTTCCCTTGCAGGGCACCTTCTGGGCCACTCAGCCCCAGGGAGGAGAGAACTTGCAGGGGCTGTGACCACCTATTCTGTTCCCAGGGGCTGCAGGGACCCTTCTAGGATGGAAAAACCAGCTCGGAGAAGAGGGACTGAGCGTCCCGGAAAGGGAAGACCCCCAGGTCTGGGTGACTCCGGCCTCCCCTCTAGGGGATGGAGTGGCTGAGGACCCGGGGTTTGAGAGAGGAGGAGGGCCTTCTGGCCCAGTGAGAACCAGGACGGGGAGATGGGACGGGATTCGTGTTCAGGAACCCACAAGAGGGAGACTGGACGGGTGACTGGAGGAAGGGAAGGGTCAGGATTGGGTCACAAAGACTCTTCCAGGCTGTGCTTGACACCTGGGTGGGAGAAGATGGGAGCCACAGATGGTCCTAGAGCTGGGAGAGTCAAGGGCTGGCAAAGGGGCCACCGTGTCCTGGCACTGGTGCTCCCCTCCCCTGGACCCTGCAATCCCGCTCGGCGGGGGGGGGGGGGGCACTGTGCAGCAGCCGGGGGCTGGGATTAGGACCTCTTACTCAAGGATCCTCACAAAAACCCCCGAGAGAGATGCTGTCCCCCCATCATGGAGTGGAGAGCTCATCTGCCCAGGGACACAGAGCCAGCCCCGTCTGCACCCCTCGGGGCCTGCCTTCCTCTCTGCCACCGGCAAAACCCCAGGCCAGCACCCAGTAATGGAGCACCGAAGTGCACACCTGGGAGGTCGGGTGGGGCCAATTCCCCAGCCCCAGGCATAGGTGTGGAGGCCCCTGCGTGGCTCCTGCCTCCACTGGGGCAGACTCAGCCTCCCTGGAGGACCCTGAGGTGCACCAGAACACTCGTGTTCACAGGGAACACGCCCCCCCCCCCCCCCCCCCCCGCCCCCCCCCCCCCCCGGCGGGCCCGGCCCGGGCCCCCCCCCCCCCCGCCCCCGGGGGACCCCCCCCCCCCCCCCCCCCCCCGTGCTCCCCTGGCTGGCAGATTGGCCTAGGGACTCCGGACAACAGCTCCCAGGCTGGGTTTCCACGGCCGTCCCCTCGTCCTCGCCGGTGCCTGGATGGTCTGCACACAGCAGCGGTCCTACACACAGCCCGGCACAGGTGCGGGTGACTGGGGCAGGAAAGGGGCCGCGGCGGGCAGGGAGGTGGAGGGGAGCGGTCAGGCCTGCAGTCCTGGCTCTCGGGAGGCAGCTGACAGGGCTCCGAGGGCCACCTGTCCCCTCCCCTGGTCCCAAGCCCTGGTTCCTTGGCCCAGCACCACACCTGGCCCTCCTGGTGTCCAGATGGGGGGGATGACACGTGATCGGCTGCACCTGCACCCAAAGCCAGAGGACTCACTGGCCAAACCACCCCCTCCCACTCGGAACTCGGAGAGGGCAGTGTCCGGAGCCTCCCTGCGGTCCTCTGCCCACCCCCCCAGGGTGGCAAGGGAGACAAGCCACCTTGCAATTCAATCCCCCAACCTGTCTCTGGCTCCTGTTACCGAGCCCCCAAAGGCTAACCCCCAAAGGCCAGCCCCAGTGTCCTGGAGCTCCACCTCAAGCCCCGCCCAGACCCCACCCCAAGTTCTAGAACCTAGCCCAGAAGCAGGGAGTGGGAACAGGGAGCTACAGGCAGAAGGCAGGAGAAAGTTGGGGCTGGGGGCCAGTGACTAAAAGGGTGGTGGGCGGGTGTCCGGAGGAGCACTGCCCACCACCCTCAGCCAGCCCGCCCCGCTGCTCCAGCTCCAGGGCCAATGAGCAGCGGCCGGCCTGATGTCACTGCAAATCTCAGACCGGCTCTCTAACAAAGAGAACAATGGGGCGGCCACAGGGACTCTTGACAATGCTGCTGCAGGGACCCTCACACCCTGGGCCTGCCGCCCTGGGCCTGTCAGAGGGAGGGCTAGGAGTCTGGACCTCCGGACGGCTTTCCCAGCTGGTCCTTAAGCAAAGCATGTCCCCAAATCCTCGAGAGGGGTGGGGATCCTCCCTCATCCTGTGCTCCCCCCACCCTCGGAAGGGCCCCCAGGCTGGCAAGTGGAGATGGGCACCCTCTCTGTATGCCAAACTTCTCTCTTGACCTGCTTGAACACCCCCCCCCGCCCCGCCCCGGAGACACCCCCAAGCCCTAGCGAGCCCCGCCCCGTGCCTGCTTCGGGCGTGGAGCGCCCACCGCCCAGCAGGGCCCCCTGGTTCTTGGGATCCCACCGCAGGCGACCCAGGGCCTGGGCAGAGGCGCCGCATAGAGGGGCCTGACCCGGCCGGAGGCGCCCAGACAAAGGCAGCGGCGGGCCGGAGCGTGGAGGGGAGGAGCGCGGGCTGCGCCTAACTTTCTCGCGCGGCCCGCGGCAGGACAAAGGCGCACAGGCGGCCACTGAGGCCCGGGCCCACGCGGGGCGTGGCCAGGGTCTGGCGTCCGGCCGCGGGCAGAGCTGGGCAGGGCTGGGCTGCGGCGTCCTCCTCCCCAGGGCGCGAGGCGCGGGGACCCCGGGGGCGGCGCCCCAGACGGCGGCCACTCACCCTGGCGACCCACGATCTCGGCGACGTGCTCGGAGCTGGGCACGGGCACGCACTCGGTCATGTTCACGCTCTTCTTGCGGCTGCCGATCACGCTCATCTGCTCGGCCAGCAGCGTCGGGGGGCCCAGGGCCGCGGGGTGGGGCGCGAAGCCGGCGAACACGTCGGGCGGCGACTGCCGGGGCGGCGGCGGCGGGCTCACGTCGGGCTCCAGCAGCGCCAGCGAGCCCGGCGCCACGGCCTCGACCACCGCGGGCGCGCCCGCCTCCGGCCCGTCGAGGGGCGCGGGCTCCGCCGCCGCCCCGCCGTCCGCGCCGCCCGCCGCCGCCGCAACCGCGCCGTCCCCGCCGCCCGCGACCGCCCCCTCCTCGTCCGGGCCGCCCGCGCCCCCCAGCCCCAGCCCCGAGAGCTGGTCCAGCGCCAGGCGCAGCGCGGCGGCGGCGGCCGCGTCGTCGGGCGCGGCCTCCTCCTCT